AATGGAATGCAAAAATATGTATGTTTCCAATAGGACTCATATGGTCCTATTTTGGAATAAAAACATAGCAAGTCCTATTTTAGGTTTTTGCCATAGTTTTAGTCCTATTTGAACTAATTTCTAATTCTTGTTATTATTTGTAGCTCTTGTGCGATCCCATTTATTAATTCAATTGTTTTTAGATTTATTATTTCGTGCATAAACGGTATATATAGTTAACGCAGTTTGTAGGTTTGTTTGGGTGAAGTGGAGTTCGACGATCGTATGTGCTATTTATATAGGTTGTGGAGGATTCTAGCGTGCGTTGAAGATCTCACCGTCTTTAAATTAATAACTATCCTTCGTTATAATATAGTCCCTCCGTCGACTTTGCCACTTTTTCCTTTTTGTTTGTCCCAAAAAAGATTGACACTAACTATTAAAGCAACTAATGTGTGATTCTGTCCAATTCTCTCTCCTCTGCACAAAACTCAACCACACACGTTTTATTTTTCTTATTTCTCACCAACTTTGAACTTGGCAAAGTTCACCGGGACGGAGGTAGTAAGAAATTGCCCAAAATGGGACTAAGACATGGAGTAAATTCTTAAATGAGACTTTAAGAATTTAGTGCAAGTGCTCTTCTGATTGAATCTGTTGCACTGGTTCCTCTAGCGATGACAAGTCTTCTCCTCCTCCTCCTCCCAAAGATTCCAAAATCAAACTATCTAAAAATGATGGAACTGCGCATTAGATAACCCTAAAACAATTAAAACCTTAATTGGAAAGCTATTTTATCTTACTGTTACAAGACCTGATATTGCTTATAGTGTTCAAGTTCTTAGTCAGTTTCTTGCTTCTCCAACTAATATCCATATTAGTGCAGGTCACATGATTTTAAGATACCTTAAAAGTTCTCCGGTTGAAGGTCTTTTCTACCCATCCATTTCTGATTTTTCTATACAAGGTTATAATGATTCACATTGGGCTGCTTGTATTGATACCAGAAGGAGTGTTTTCTGGGTATGCTTTTTACCATGGTAACTCTTTAATTTCCTAGAAATCTAAAAACAGGAGGTTGTTAGTAGATCTTCTACTGAAGCCGAATACAGAGCAGTTGTCAATGCAATTTGTGAGGCCCAATGGTTATATTACATTCTTCATGATTTACATATTCAGTTCTCTTTACCTATGGTTATATATACTCATGATAAATCTACTTATCACCTTGCTCACAATCCTATTCAACACCAAAGGACTAAACATATTGAGTTAGATTGCCACTTAAAAGAGAACTTGTAGATATCCACTTATAGAACGCATCTTGGAAATCCATTGTTCAATCGGTTTGCAGTCAAGATGAACATATTGGACATACATGCTCCTCTTGAGGGGACGTATCAAGACTAAACGGTTGGAGCTTGGATCTCTTTCATTTGTTTGGGCCTTTTATTATTTTATTGGGCCTTGTTTGTATTCATTCTATTCCTATTGTATTACGTATATATGTATCTGGTCTGATGTAAACTAGGTACTAGTTGTCATTCTTACAATTACAATCTTCCGCACAAGCTCTCTGTAATTTTTCTTTCATTCATCATCATCATCAATCAAGATTCATTTCTTGAGCTCAATTATTCACATGGTTATAGTTTATCAAGAGCATGTTTATTCCTTAATTCAATATGAGCATGTAATACAACTCTAGTGTTTGTGAATTACATTTTTCATTTAAATATTACATTCATTGTTATTTGCGGGATAAAATGGCACATCAAAGGTAGACGTTTATGGAAACGACAGACATCTCACTATCTTCCTTCTTACATGCCGGCATGTGGCTCCTCTTCATTGATAATAAGATCGCCTTCACGACAACGGTCAGCAGCATTGCATCCTCGCCTATAAGCATTTTGAGACTCTTTTGGTCTACAATTTTTATTTGAATGTCCACAAGAAGGCTTATCAAGATCTAAAACATCGTTACTTATTTCTTTAGCAGCTCCAATGACAAATAAATGTGTGCATGCAATGAGTCCAATTAAACAAACAACAAAAACAATACCCTTAACGTTAGCCATAGTCTTTAGCTGATAGATATTATTAGGAACGATATAAACTAATTATATTGTATTGATTGTAATTTGTAAGGAGATCCCTATGCATATATATAGCTCACAATCCCATAATGTATGTGGTTAAGGATCAATTTGCCATTGCATGGATAATATTTAATGAAACACCAACTAATTGGAGGGGACATTAAATTGGTTTTCAAATATTAATTATAACCTCCAATTTATTTAGATTAAGGAGCAAAAAAGTCTGGGAATATTAGATAAAAAAAAATTATAACTCCGTACTATATTTAGATAAAAATATACTCCCTTCGTTCCACAAAATTTGGCCATATTGACTTTTCTTAGTCAAAGATGGTCAAGTTTGACCAATGATTTTTTTAATATAAAATTATTTAAAACACAAAAATTATATGTAAATGTTCTTTATTAAAAATACTTTTATAAAAGTTAGAAATTTGACACAGATAGAATTACTAAAATCCTTGACCAAAGTTTATTATCATTGACAAAGAAAAGTTAAATTGGTCAAGTTTTATGTGATGTGGGGAGTAGTACTCCTACTATAATTTGCATGGTGATAATGAAGGTTGATATGACCGTGATCCGCCTATAATGTGATATATATAATTCGTTGTGTGAAGATGTTGAATCAATCAAAAGGTAATAAAGTGAAGTGTAAACATGAGTGGTGAGGAAGTAAAATGTATAGCGGTAAGTGAGACGGGGGTTTATCGAACTACGGGGATGACGTATAAGTGAGTGCAACAATTAAATATGCAAATTTGTCACTAAAAAGGAGTAAACGAAATTACAAGGCAAACATGGTCAACATTGATGCAAAAGAAGCTAAACTATGAAATAAAGATATAGTATCACGAGAATGTTTGGAACTATGTAGTAATCAAAAGTCGGACGATATAGTATTAGAACTTTATTACAAGAAAGAGCTTGCATAACGGTTCCTCCGTCACTCTCGTGGTCGTAGGAATTGGTCAATAAACGATCTTGGTGATTTAAATGTGTATAATGTTTGTAATGTGTTCTTCAATGCTTATTACTGATAGAATGAAAAGAATTTGGACTATAGTGAGAAAAACATGATTATTTAGGTATTTGATTTGTTTTGTGTACAAATGAAATTTGTTTGAGATGTTTTAATGCCATACCCATTAGACTATATATAAAACTCACAATATGTTATTCAGTACTCATTGTTCATATTACAAAAAGAAGTTAGACAATAATTGGAAATACATGTTTGTTTTGTGAGTCATGATGGTAGGGATGTTCTAATGGCATGTGCACTTGGGGGGTGTTTGGATCTGATTCTTAAAACTGCTTCTGCTCCTTCAGAGAGCAGAAGCAAAAGTTGGAGTGTTTGGGTGAAAGTGAAGAAGTACTTCTGGTTCTCTAATTTACTCTTAGAAGCAGTTTCTTTAGAAACTGAGGGAGATCAGCTTCTGAAAAACTGATTCTGGTTTCGTTTCTGCTTTAAAAAAGAAGCATAAGCAGAATCGGTTCCAAACACCCCCTTACATGTATATGATGATCATAATATGATAAATGGTACTCATTATTACATAAAGTTTGAAAATAATGAGATATGTATGACTGTTTAGATATTTCATTTGTTTAATATATAAATGACATTTTTAACATATTCTAATGTTATACAGTTACATATAATCATTACTGGTTTGAATGGGAAATCAGTGACAAATGTACGTTTAGTTAAGTATTTCTTTTCATAAATATTATGAACGCAACTATATGATTCAATACACGGATTATTTTGATATTTGGTAAATATATGATAATTACTAAAGCTCAAATTGTTATAATTGATCAGTCTATTAATATATATGTACAGTACAAATATATAATGTAGAAGTCAAATTACTGATGCCATTTAATAATGCAGGGGTGAATGAAATGATGTGCCTCAAATTCATGTAACTGAAATTCGAGTACTTCGTGCAAAAGCACAGAAAAAACCAAAAAAGGTCACGAAGAAAAAACCAAAAAGGATTTAAAAAACCTTCATGATGCAAAATGATCAACATGAAGACGCATTTGTTGAGAAACAAAATGAAGAAGCGGCTTGAAGATGACGTTCACAAGAATTCTACCGATGAGAATGAGATGGAAGAGTCGTAGCATCAGAGAGGGGAACATGAGCAACAAAGAGAAAGAGATGTAACTAAAAATACAGAAATTGTTGGGGGAAAAGAAAAGAAAGAAATGAAGTAACTCAAAGGAGAGTTATAAGGAATATGAATGATGAGCAAAGTAATTCAAATCTGGCAGAGGCAAAGAAGAAAAATAAGAACAAAAACCTAGAAAAAATAAAGATGAAGATGAAGAGGATGAAGAACATATTGAAGATGGTGGGGGATGTTTCCAAAGTTGTTGATCAGAATGTCTCCGAAGACTTTGGCAAATATCATTGAGAAGCTGAAGGTGATGACTAGAAAAGAGAAATGGTGCAAATGGTCTTTGGGTCATCATTACACCTTCAACTCGAGCAATTGCATACACATCTTGGTCATTGGGTTGTAATTGTTTCGATAGCCTGAGCATGTCATTGGTGCTACCCAATCAAAAGAAATTGCACATTAGTGAAGAATTTGTGCACTACACTCCTCTCGTTTATGAATATAAGTCACCCTAATATAAAAAATGAAGTATTAAAGATGTATTAATAAGTACTCTAATACGGTTTTGATTAAGTTGATTCAAATGGATACATTAGGATATTGTTACTTGGGACTTATTGGAATTCAAGTTCAAACCAAACCAAACTAGACTTAAAGAGACCATATCAGATCATACCTGACTTAAACAGAAAAGATGACCAAGCCAAATAAGACTTCGACAATTGTAAAATACACAGAGACCATACATCTCCCAGACTATATCATACTTAGAAAGACCAGATCAGACCTTAAAATTTTGATACAATTAAAAATATTCTTAGCTTAACAAGTGTATTCATAAATTCACATAAGTATGTAATACAATTCTTGGGTTTATCTACAATGTTCTATAGCATTACATGATTTTATTTAAGTAATATATAGTACAATTAAACATAATGTTTTTATAAGCTTTGCATAATAAATGCATAGCCATATTTTTTAAGAGATGTCTTGTGACTCAAAAGTAGACGTTCATGGAAAAGACTATGAACCTCCATGTGATCCTCAATGCATGTCAAATGTTATTCTTTATGCACCCAGAGCACCACCATTAGCATCACCGCCGCGACAACGATCAGCGGCGTTGCATCCACGTGTATATGGGGTGTTAGACTCTACTGGTTTGCAATTCTTATCTCCATGTCCACAAAAAGGCAAATCACCATGTAAAGCACCATTACTTATTTCTTTCGCATCTCCAGTGGAAAACAGATTTGTACATGCAATGAGTCCAATTAGACAAACAACAACAACAATACCACTTACTTTAGCCATGATATTTACTTGACGAATATTACTTTGAACAAATGTATTATATTACTTTGTGTATTGGTTACGATTTGAAGCGAGAATGCATGCTATGCATATTTATAGTTCACAATCTCATAGGAGGTGTGGTCAAGGACAATTTTCCATTGTAGGGATGATATTAAATGGAATCCTAACTAAATGGAGAGAACATTAAAATGGTGCGGACATTTTAATTATAACCTTCAATTAATTGGAGCTTGATAATGAAGCAGTAAGTCGAGGATAATAACATAAAAAAAGACGATAAAACATTAAAGTTGGGGATGAGATAAAAAAGGGGAAAGATACAAATTATCCTTGATCTTTAGCTCGAGGTACATATATGCCTCTAGTTGTCTGAAATGTACAAAAATGTCCCTAAAGTCTATGTTTAAAAGCAATTTTTGGCCTTATAAATTTTAAATAAATAAAAAATACATTTAACAATATAAAAAAATTAATGAATATACAGAGTTTGGAGATTGAAAAATTTTAAAAAAAAATGTGTTCAATGCTTCCTTTTTATAATTTTATATCAATTTGATATTTTTAACATAAATTAAATGTTTAAACTTTGACATATAATTGTGATTTTAGCCCCAAAGTATTAAACAATGTGTTGAAAAAATAAAAAAAAATAAAAAACATTTTGTGCTCAATGCTTCCTTTTATCTTAATAATACGTAGTATTAAATTTTGATAAATCTTAATAAAGAACCATTGCACACAAAATGATTTTTAATTTTTTTTTTCATTTTTATGTCAAATATATTCGTTTGTTATATTTTTTAATGTTTGTTATTTATATAATATTAATAAGGGTAAATTTACTCATAAATACAAACTTCGTGGATATTTTTGCGTCTTTTTAAACCTTAAGTGCATAAACATGAAGTAAATATGTGTACATTTCCCCTAAAAGGTACAAATGTTGCCCCTGTGTGACCGTAGATTGTGTTTTTTCTTCATTTTTTAATTCATGTGTGGGTTAGAGTAAGCTTGACCATACATGCTAGATGTACACCCTAGTCTACACCTTTATGCACATTTAATACAAGGGTTCAATAGGAAGCTTGCACTATGGGCAGTGATTCAAGGCCTCCAATTCTGAGGAGAGGCGAATTTACTGTCTGGAAAGCCAAATTTCTTAATTTTATCCGAAGCAGGGATAATGGTAAAAATATTCTCATATCTCTGAATGAAGGATCAGTTGAGTACTCGGTTGATCTTCAGGGAGATACAACCAATAATCCTCCTACACCTCCTAGAAGAGTGCCCAAGAATGAAGAAGAGTATACTAAACCTGAAAAGCTCAGAGCTGAAGTTTATCTCCTTGGTGCTACTTATCTGCTGCAATCTATCCCCAATGAACTCTTCATGCAATTGACAGCCTCATGACTGTCAAAGATATGTGGGATGAGATTCACCAAATCATGAAAGGAACCGATGTTGACATAAAGACTAAGCGAGCTCACACCCTTACTGAATATGACACGTTTTCTTCTAGAGCTGATGAAGAATTGGAGGATACCTACCAACGTTACCTAATGGTCCTGAACGAGATGAGGAAGATCAACATCCGTAAGACCAACATGGAAGTTAATCTGCGCTTTCTACGATCCTTTTGACCAGAATGGAAGAAAACAGCTAAAACAATCAGACAGAATAAAGATATGGATGAGCTGACCATCCACAATGTCTATGACTGCCTAGGTGAATTTTCTGAGGATGTGCTCGAAAAGGTGAAAACTTCAAAAGAAAAGGATATTGTTGATTCTGTCGCACTTCTGTCTACTGAAAGGAAAAAGAGAGATAAAGCACCAAAAATCACTCTTGAAGTTGATTCATCCAATGAAGAAAAGAATCAGTCTGATTCCGATCCTGAGATCAATGAGCTGAAGAAAGAACTGGTTTTGCTGACAAATCGTACAAAGAAGATGAATAAGAGGTTAACAAGGTTCAGATCACCATCATCATCCAACAAGCAGAGAACTTCTTCAATCAATTATTCAGACAAAGCAGTGGACCTTCTGATAAAGTTGTCAGTGGAGATCATCTGAAGTGCTTCAAATGCGGCAAGCCCAGTCACTTTGCTAAGAAGTGCAGATCTGCAAAGAAGAAAGACTTCAACTATTACATGCAGAAGGCACAACTTGATAAGCAGAAGGAGCAAGGAATGGTTTTAATGGCTGAGCATGACCACTGGCGGGAAGATTCTGATGATAGTGAGCCAGAGAATTTGGCACTAATGGATCAAGTTGCTGATGCTGAAAGTGATAGTGACTGCTCTGAGGAAGATACTGGTTCTCCATCTGCTGATAATGAGGTAAGTAATCTAAACTCTTTAATTACAAAGCAGTGCACTAAAATTAATGAGCAAATTTCCTCTTTGAAATAAGAGAGAATTAAAATAAAGGAACTTCAAGACAAACTTGCTAATAATCAAATTTGTCTGGAAAGAAATTTAGAACAGTCTACATTTATTGGTATGTGCTTGAAAAATTCACAAGATAAAGCCACTAGCTTAAAATCTGAAGTAGGTAAACTTTAGAAAACTTTTTGTTACTTAACTAAGGATCTAGATGATAATAAGCGAAAACGTTCTGAAGCTTTGTCGTTGTTCAGACAATGATGGGGTTTAAGAAGGATCTTGCAGTGGGTTTGGCCGTTCATCAGTAGCTGATGGTGTCAAGTTTATGTAGTGGCGTTTTGTGGGTGTAGGGTGAGGCAGGGGAAAAATTGGGTTATATTGATACAAATGGAAGGGTGGTGGTTTGTCAAGGGTGAGGGTATGGTGCATATATGTTACTCTAGTGTCAAGCCCGTTTTTCTTGGTCGTTGTCGTGTCTAGGCAGTGGGGTAGCCGTGTAGGCGGTGTTGGGTTGGCAATTTAACTGTCCACCGTTGGCACTGAGACGGTGGTCACTGTGACGTTGGTCACTGCGACTGTAGGAACTGAGATGATGGTCACTAGAGTAGTAGTAATTGAGATGTTGGTCACTTAAACGATAGTAGCTCAAACAATGGTCATTCGATCGGTAGTAACTGGGACAGTTGTCACTGGGAGTACTATAACTTAAACGATGGTCATTGGAGCGGTAGTAACTCGGTCTGTTTTCACACAAATTTGTATAATAATTTAAATAATTAAGACTTTTTTAAATATTAAATATTTAAGACTATGTTTCCATATCTAAGTATCTATCTTGAACAATAATATTGAAATAAAAAGAAGAATAGTCATCCGGATGGTGGTACACGTACAGGGCATTGGTGTTATGCAATGAAAACTAAATTAGGATGCAGAAATAATCTTGATTGTTAGGAGCTAGTCATCCGGATGCAATGTTTGGCAGTAATTCTTCTACTACCTAGGTTGTCCGCTTCTTTTTGTTAGGGGTTATTCGGATGCACCGTTAAACACTTGGAAGGGTGTTTAAGCAATTTTTTGATATGCTAAAACTAATTAAAAAATAAAATTATGTGAAGAATGGGTCTCGTACAAGAATAATAAGGAAGATGACAAGTGAGCGAATAAGAGTGTATTTTAGTGTGTTGTTCGAATGTGAAGCTCTGGATTACAATGGGGGGATGCTCTATTTATAGGAAGGGTAATTAATGGCCTAGTTATCCGTTACAGACAGTTTGGCTGTTCTGACCCGACAGTTTCACAACTCGTCATTAAAGCTGGCCAGCTCAAATTGAGTAACCTCCAGCCTTAATTACGTTACTAATTAAAATAATAAATACAAATCCGTTATAACAGTCATCATTAAGCCTCATGGACGTATCATTAATTTCTACGGTCAACCCTCTTTAATGCCACATAAACCGTCAAATTCTTGCTCCAACAATAGCCACCTTTCGAGAAGTTGACGCGTATGATACACGGATCGGACCGTTAAGCGGCAACTTGTCGAAATTTAAACTTTGCATCATGGTTCTTTGCGCCTACTGATTCGTCAACGACTCATCACGACATGTTGATCCACTCGTCTGACAAAATGCTTCCGTCCTTCTTTTTGTTAACTTCCGATCGAATCCGTCGAGGTTGCTTAAAATAATGAAGAATGAAAACCAACATCTCATCTTCTTTCCTTTTAGATTGTGTTGATGACAATGAATTGGAACTTCGTCCATGACAATATTGACACTTCGATTGGCTGAGGGAACTTCGTTCGTTGGTAGAGATGACGAGTTGGGCTGCATGTACGTAATCCTGCAAAAACGTTGAAAATATTGTTGATATAAGTGTTTATTATTTATGTCAATGTCAGTTGTTTTGGCCAAAATATTACGGAGAATCGGTGACATTTATGCTCATGTTTAACGTACATGAAAACTCCACTTCTTCCCCTAAAATTCTGTAAGCCCCCCGTCAATTGTGTTTAGACGTGTTGTAAGACTTTGTAAGCCCCCCGTCAATTGTGTTTTGACGTGTTGTAAGTCTGTGTTTGATGTATGTTAGGATTCCGTCATTGACGCTTGTTGATTGTACCTGTATTTGCCAAAGTTGTCGTTGGTAAATAATCATCTAAAAAGTTTCAATTTAGTGAAGTGATTAAAAATGGAAGAGTTTCAAGTGTACCGCATTCCAACTTCTGGGAACTTGTTTACCATCTATCGATTCCAGTCGATATGCACCCTGTCCGACAACTTCGTTGATTTTGTATGGTCCTTCCCAATTAGGGCTGAACTTACTGGCCGCTTCGTTGCCGAATGCTCTCTTTAGGACCCATTCGCCCTTTTTGAACACTTTGGTTGTGACGTTTTTGTTATAGCTTTTTGCCACCATCTGTTGATACGTCTGTAGGCGGAGCTTGGCCCGTTCACGGATCTCGTCAATGGTTTCCGGGTCATGCGTCAATTCCACGTTGTTCAATTCTTCAGTCATGAGCCCATATCTTGAAGAAGGTATTTCGATTTCAGCATGTATTACCGCTTCACAACCATATACTAGAGAGAATGGAGTCTGTTCGGTTGCATTTTTTGGAGTTGTCCTATCCGCCCATAGTATTAGTGGCAGCTCATCAGCCCACTTGCCTTGTGCTT